TCCCGGCCTCAGCACGGATGTGTTTGGGATGGCAGGCCGTGAATAAACACGGCCTCCAAGGCACTGCGCATGGTGTTGGCACTCCGTCTTCACTAGTGACCACTGTGTCCAGGGACACACACTGCTTCTGCAGTGCCTTTCACGGATCCCACCAGTTTCTTCTTGATGACCTAGGCAGTGCCAAACAGAAGACACCTTTAGGGACAATCCTACAGAGTGCCCCTAAAATGTAACCCTTGGCCTGTCGTTCAATGCGTGTTTCAAATACAGTGCGCACGCACCAATGTGTGTATCTATAGATTCCTTCTGCACATTATGACAAATAAAGACACAGCATAGAGAAGATACTATTTGGATATTCTTCATTGCGGATTCTTCTTGTTTTCTAACCAAACTTCAGTGAACTTATAGCTATGTAATCTTGTTTAAATTCTGGCTCCATCACAGTTATGTCTAGGGGTGACTGGGAAGGGCAGGGCTTAGGCTTCCCAGCTAACTTACATGGCCGGGATTCTGCAGAGATGAGCTGCGGGACAGAATGTGCCACTGTAGAAACAATAAAAACATGGAAAAGGGCTGGGGTGGGGTTCCGCGGTAGAGGGCATGCTGAGCCTATGCTCAGGGCCTGTGGTAGATCCCAGCACGGTGCCAAACAACAAGGAAATAGCATGGTTACGTTAGGAAAGATCTGGGCCTGGCAGCCAAAGGCTTCCATTCAGTCTCAGCTCTGTCATAACCGGCGGGGCACCTCAGACCTTTACTTAACCTCTCTGAGCCTCATTTCCCCATCTGTTTAGATGAAATAAACTTCCTGATCTTCAGCACTGGGGCAACGCTCCTTGTGTGTCTCCATCACTTGGCACTATGCCTGGCACATAGTAAATTACCTATAATGAAATACATTACAAATGTACACAAAATCCTTGGGAAAAGCAAAAAGTTATTTAATCATAATTATGTCAAAATTACAAGAAGTGTTTTTTTCCCAAACACACTAGACTACAAGGGATTACAGAAAAACTGGTTTAAGTGTTAGGATAATGGATAAATGTTTAACTCTTTTTTTTGAATTTAGTCCACACAGTAAATGTTAATAGTTTAGAAAACTAAATTTAAAAAATTAATGAGCTGTATTTACATATCATAAAATTCACCCATTAAATTATAGAGTTTAATAGTTGTTCAGAGAATTGTGCAAACCTCACCACTGTCTAATTTTAGACCTTTCCATCACTCCCAAAAAGAAACAATGTACATTAATGGTCGCCAGGGGCTGAGAGAAGGGAATTGGGAGTGACTGCAGTCAGTCATCTGCTTTCTGCTTTTACAGATTTGCCTGTTTCTGCACATTTCATATGAATGGAGTCATGCACCATGTGACCTTTGTGTCTGGCTTCTTCCACTCAGCATGTTTTCAAGGTTTATCTATGCTATAAGATGTATCAGTACTTCATTCCTTATTCAACTACATGGATATACCATGTTTTATTGATCCATCAGTAAATGACACATTTGAGTTGTTCCAATTTTGGCTATAATGCTATGAACATTTATATCCAAGCTCTTATGTAGACATGTTTTCAAATCTCTTGGGATATACTCAGGCATGGAATTGCTAAGTCATATAAAACCCTGTGCTAGGCTGGGGATATAGCTCAGTTACAGAACACTTACCTAGTATGTATGAGGTCCTGAGTTTGATTCCCAACACCACACAAACCAACCAACCAACAAAACAAACAAAACCCTTGGGTTTAACTTTTCTAGGAAATACTGAACTGTTTTTGAAAGTGTCTGCACTATTTCACATTCCCACTAGCAAATGTCTCATAGGTCCAATTTTTCCACTTTTTTGGGGGGGTACTTGGGGATTGAACTCAGGGCCTTGTCCTTGCTAGGCAAGTGTTTGACCACTTGAGCCATGCTCCCAGCCCTTTTATTCTTAGTTTGTTTTTAGATAGGGTCTCCTTTTTTGCCTGGGCTGGCCTCAGACTGTGATCCTCTGCCTCCCCAGTAACTGGGATTACAGAGATACAGACATGTGCCATCATGGCTGGCTTATTTGTTGAGAGAGACTCTCATTGCCATTTTTCCTAGGCTGTCCTGGAACTGCAATCCTCCTTTCTCTCCTCCTGAGTAGGTGAGTAGGTTGCACCACCAAGCCCAACCAATTTTTCACATTTTTGTCAACATTTTTATTGTCTTACTGATTATAGGCATCCTAGTGGGTATGAAGTAGTATCTCATTGTGGTTTGGATTTGCATTTCCCTGAGTCTAATGGTAATGAGGATCTTTTCATGTACTTATTGGTCATTTGTTTATTTCTTTGGAGAAATGCTGTTCAAATCCTTTATCCATTTCATAACTGGATTGTCTTTGTATTGCTGAATTGTAACAGTTCTTTATATATTCAGGATACACTAGATCCTTTTCAGATATAGGACTGGCAAATAGCTCCTTTTTCTGGGGGTTGTCTTTTCACTTTCTTCATAGTGCCCTTTGAAGCACAGGTTTTAACCCCGAAAAAGTCCCATTTTAAATGTTCTTTTTATGCAAGATCTTATCAGCAGTTATATAAAAAGTACAAACACTACTGAGTATTTGCTAGGTGCTGAGTCAGAGAATGCAGGGATAAATAGCATGCACCTTCAAGAAGTCCACACCCTCAAGGAGTCATCTATGCTGCCCTTGTAGGGCGCTGAACTCACTGGGGGCTCAGCTCCAGCTCTAGGGAGTTCTGGGTAGGATGGGGAAAGGGTCTTTGCATGAAAGCCAGCAGGAGACAGGTGAAGCTGACCCTCTAGTGGCCAGGAGGGGAAGGCACTCCTCTGAGGGCTGTAGTTACTTTCAAGAAGAAAGTTTTCTGAAGTGGGGAACAGCAATGGGGAGGAAAGGGAAATTCAGGTTTCCCCCAAGAAGCCACCTCTGGCTTCCCCTGATCCTAAAAGTTAACCAACCTCCTGCCTCTCCAAGGTAACTGACAGCCAGTCCAGAGTGCCCAAGACAGCCCAGGGCCAGTCCAGCGTATAGGACTCTCCAAGAGAGGGCATCTAAGGGGCTCTGGGGAGCTGGTCACAAACAATTTTTGTTCAAAGGTATATGTAAGCTGCCAATTTATTCCCATTAGTGGGGCTACAAACCAGTGCCTGGGAAGAGCTGTTTCAGACCAATCAATGTCTTGAGCAAACTGTGAACAATCACAGTGTAAGGGCAGAGCACTGAGGGTTGAATGAAAATCCCTGGTCTTCAGGTAACCCACCTTAAATCTTCATTGTGCTTTTCATAGATTTCCATTTTACAAGCAAGAAAATGGCAGACATCTCCCAGGAAGGACAGGATCTCCTCAGAGCCTGCTTTGGCTGGAACCTTTCTCCACCTAGCTGTCTTCATGGACAGTGCCCATTCATATCAAAGTGAGGAAAGCCAATGCAATGGTAAGCCCTCTGCAGCCCTTTCCACCCTTGATCATCCTGTGCCCACCTACCGAGACGGCAGCCCGGGACTCCTGTCCATTCTCCACCACTGAGAGCATTTCCACTCAGGCACCACTAAGCAAGGAGACTCACATGACACCTGCAGGGACAGATGGTGGCCAGATGAGCATGCTCCCAACTCACCCCGCAACCACAGTCCCCTCCCAGCAAGCAGCAGGCGGTCATCTCGGCTTACTCAAACTGCAACCGAAAGGCCTGTGAGCAACACAAAAGTAAAAACTGAGAGTGGATTTTAAGGAAGGAAAAAGCCAGAGGCTGAGTCCTTGGGAGGCGAGGAGCCCTGTGTGCCATGAGTGGGTGGTAAGGACTCTGAACACCAAAAGCTACACAGAAAGCCAGGGCTGGTGGGATGGGTGTGTGGGGGCAGGGAGCCAAAGGCTGCTTCAGGGCACCAGGGAGATGCTTCAGCTGAAGGCGCCAAGAACCCATGAGGACCGGGAAGCAGGGCTCACAATTCACAGTCAAGGCCTGGGCCCTGCACCAGCCCCTGACTCCTGTCCCTGTCCAGGGTCTGCTATCTGGGTGATGGTGGATACAACCAAGCAGCTTCAGAAGGAGACAGGGTCTGTTGCCACACTCTGCTTCTCCATTGGGCAGCACAGGGACAATCTAAACAGACCAACATGGATTCTGATGGCAATTTCCCTCTAACCAGCAAGGCATGCTGGGGCACAGTAGATTTCTCAGGCAGAGTATGACCAAATAAAACACCCAGCACAGTGCCTGATGTGTTCCAGGTAGACATGGTATCTGTAATCCCAGTGGATGTAGCCACCCAAATCTACAAAGAATGCCAATGCCTGAAATATGGGTACCAATAGTTGAAGGCAGTCCATTATTCAATCCCTCAGTGTGGCTCAAGTGGTAGAGCTCTTGCCTAGCAAGCATGAAGCAGTGAGATCAAACCCCAGTGCCACCAAGAAAAAAAACTTGTTAAGGTTGTCTGCTTTCAAATAATTATGATCCAAAGAAGTTAACACAACCAAGAAATGTTACCTAGATTGCAGCATTTGTGCTCTTCCTAATTGTCCTAGGGGTGCCATTTTATTATCTCCACCTGCTAGATAAGGACATGGAGCTGTCCCAGCTCAAGGAAGTACTGGAGATGCCATGGCTGATAGTGGCTTGGTTCCACTGCTGGACCTGAGTGACACCAATCCCAGGTGAGGGGAAACCCCAGAGGCCCGAGAGAGTGCCATCCTCAGAGCTGGACTCAGGGTGGGCTGCGAGGAGGACACTTTGGCTGGGGGCCAAGGCATGGGGTACAGGGAGTATTAAGGCCAGTCTGGCAAGCAAGGCTTACAGGACAGCGTGGAACACGACATCTGCGAAGCAGGGAAACACTGTGGTCCTCAATGAGGCGAGGCTGCCGAGGCAATCTCTGGCCTCTGGGGTTGGCAGAGTAAACCAGGCACAGGGAGTCACCCCGCTGTGGACCTCCTAATTCAGGCCACGCAGAGGGAAACAGGTGCATGGGGACGGTGGTCTGTGCAGGCTGCCAGGGAGAGCCCTGGACCCTGGCTGGCTGCCTCACCCGTTACCAAATTATATTCCACCCACCCAACCGCATTCCAGTCACGAGAACTCACCACAGGGAGCAGGGACCGGGCGGGCTGAGCTCCCGGCCGCTACAGCGCCTCAGACTCGGAGCCGACGCTACGGCCTCCGGGCCACTGACAACAGGAAGGGCGCGGCGGCGCCTGACGCCATCACGTAGGCTCCGCGTCAGGCCCCGCCTCCGGCCCGCAGAGCCAATCGAGGAGCTCAGAGAAGCCGCGGGGCGGGGCCAACCGCTCGACAGCCTGGAGGTGCGGTTCCCCGGGAGCCGTTGCTTGTACCCGTCGCCCGGGTTCCCAGGGCGCCAGCCTCGGGCGGAAGGCTGGGGCACTCGCCCAGTGCGCGTCCGCACAGCCTGCTCCCAGCAGTTCTGCGTCAGACGACTCCTGGCTTCTGAGTCCTTCACCTCGCTTGGCCTTGGCACCAACCTTCCCTCGGCCGAAGGTTGCACTCGTGAGTGAACAGTTCAAGCTCCTCTGTGACTTCTGCAGGGAGCTGTCGCTGTGTCTCTGCTTCGATTTATCAAAGCAGCTGTTAGGGGCGTCCCTCACCTCCCTGTTTGGGGGCTGCCTGTTCTGCAGGAGCGAGAACCTCCCCTCCTCAGTTTTAGGCTAGGTGAGTTGAGTGGGTTCAACACAGCTGATAGTTGAGCGGGAAGATTACAATGCATACAAACGATTTCTTTTGCTGTTAAACCACCCTTGGTTTTTGTTGTTGTTGTTGTACTCGGGGTACAGGTACTTTTTTTTTGTTTTTGTTTTTTAACACTTCCAAAGGCTTTAATTGATCACCATTATATTTACAGGTGTAGACCAGATAAAGGTTGCTTGCAGAGCTTCATATTCTCCACTTGTCTTTTCTTGCTTGCCTCCTCCCCTGCCAACTCTGTAGACCAATATCAGGTGAGACTGCTTTACTGGTTACATAGATCTATAAAATTTAAAAAGACACTTACCAAAAGAAAACTCCCAAATACAGTTATTAGTCAGTAATCGCTACATTAGCTGCCAGAACTTCACATTCATATCTTCAGATTATCCCCATTTTACGGGGAAGGAGGAAAGAAATTCAGAGGGAATTGAGTTGTACATTGTGACATTTACAAAATTCTTACAATATACCATAGTTGAATTCACCCCCTCCATCATTCTCATGTATCCCCCTCCCCCAATTCCTGGAATAGTTTCCACAGGTCTCATGAGTACATATTTCCATCATACTCTCTTGCACCCTTTCCTTCTCTTCCCCCCCGTTGAACCCATTTGAAGCAATGCTGGAAGTAAAGGATTTTCTACAGACATCTAGCTACCTTGGAATAGTATATCTGGCACAGCCAGAGCATTGGTGACTTGGCACAAGCATGCTTATGTCCCCAAATCGAGCATTTAATGTCCCTCTCTTATTCCACTAAGTTTTGCAAAGCTACTGAGTGTTTGGAGCTGTGGGGGAACCCCTCAAAATAACCTCTTGTTTATCAGGAGCCCTTGTGTGCTGGTCTCTTACTTTCCAGGCTCCCGGTCTTTCTGAAGTCTGCAGGTGTGCTTGCCTCTTCTCATCTTACTCTACATGCTTTTGTGAAGTGCAGAACGGCGTGGGTCTTGGGTGTGATGGGGGTGGGGATGGGACAAGAGTGACATGCACAAATGCACATATATATTCCATGTTTTTGCAAACAATTTCATTCATGGATTCTTGCAACCTGCACGAGTTCGTCCTAGCAACCTAACTTGGAGCAACGGGAGACTGAGAAAGGACAAAAGACAAACATGCAGAAAGCTGGGATCAGGTGGACTGGGTGCTCTGGTGGAGACACACACCAGCCTCCACCACCTCCAGCGAGTTTATTATGTACAGGGGCAAACAAGGAAGTGGGATAGCGAAGTCAGTAGCATGACCTTGTAGTTATTGGGAACAGGAGAAACCTGTGATTGCTACTTTCTGCACATACTGTTGCTGTCTGCAGTCATGGTGTAAACATCCTTATTCTTACATAAAGCAACGGTGCGGCATTTTGCTCTCGCTCCCTTCTGCAGCTGGGGGCTGTGCCGACCCCAGCCTGCAGATTGACATGGCTGTGCTCATGTCAAGTTCTCATAGGCTTCTCATACTCCACTCTCCACAATGGACTGTGATCCCACCAGGCAAACTCCAGGGAAAAAAACAATCTCATGTTTTCATGCAACTTGAACAATAATAAAGTAATCTACAAAGTAATCTCAAGTTCGGAGAAGAGAACTTGAGAGGTTTTCAGGTTCATAGCATCTATGAACATGTTTTTAAAAACTGTTGCTTTTTGGGCTTAAAGGTTAGTTCAATCCAACTTCAGTTTTTGATCCTCCATCCCTTATCCATCCCCTTATCTTTTTACAACCAAACCTCCTCTTTATTTTACTTTTGGTATGAGCCTCCTCCATTCCCTGCAGTTGTGGTGGGTTTGAGTTACTGATTTAAGGGCCCTCCTTCAAGGCCCCAGATGTGCACTATGGCAAGCCAGTCAGTGCCTTCCCTTTCCTGACCCATGGTCCAACAGACCAATCAGAGCCCCTTTGAGGGCAGCTTTTCTGTGCGCTATTTCCTGGACTTCAGTGTAGAGCTGGAATTTCTGATTACCAACCTTACAGTTATGGGGCTAGAGTCCTCCCAAGGCCAAAGCCATCACAAAGGAAAGCAGAGAGCCAGATAAAGAAAGATGCACGAGCCACTCATGCAGCCAGCTTTAAGCCCTAGGGTTCCCTGATGTGTTGAAACAAAGTCTTAGGCCCCCAGCCCAACTCCAGGGGTTCCACATGTCAGGTCCAGCCACTTGCCCCAACACACCAAATAAAGAGATGAGTAATGATGAAGACGGAGAAAGATTTATTATGCTGCTCCGGCACCTCAGGAAGAGGCAGGGTATTCAGCCTGTCTTTGGAGTATAGGCATGAGCTTTTGGGTTAAACAGAAAAAGAATTGGGGCAGGCATGAAAGGTACGCATAATTACTAATAGTTCTGGTCACTGGGCACTGGTGGCTCATGCCTGTAATCCTAATTACTTGGGAGGCTGAGATAGGGAGGATCCAGGTTTGAGGCAGCTTAGGCAGATAGTTCTCCAGGCCCCATCTTCAAAATAACCAGAGCAAAATGGACTGGAGGCATGGCTCAAGTGGTAGAGCACCAGCTTTGCAAACACCAATGCCTCAGTTCAAACCCCAGTCCTACCAAAAATAACTCAGTAAATAAATAGTCCTGGTCAAAGTATGGCCTGGCTGATCATTCTCGGGGGTTTTGGAGACATTATGGCTGAGGGGATTATTGCTTGAGGGGAAAAAATCTGGTCAGGCTGAGCAAAGCAGTGCTGCTTGGCAGGTGGAGACTCTGGTGTTTTTTCTTGTAGTTTCCTCCTTCCTTTCTTGTAAAGATGTTTTTGATCAGTCCTGCCCTTCCTAGATGCCAAGGTGTTTACAAAGTAACTACAGGGGAGAAGGGCTCAGAGCAAAGGTCACAGATACAACACGGAGACACAGATTCCAAACTTTTCTACTGCTTTTAGTTAATTCATGGGCCCAAGAAAGTAGTCAGTGCTTTTGCTGGGCACCAGTTTCTCAGGAGGCAGAGATCAGGAAGATCAAGGTTCGAAGCCAGCCCCAGCAAATAGTTTGCGAGACCCTATCTTGAAAAAACTGTACATAAAAAAAGAGCTGGTGGAGTGACTCAAGGTGTAGGCCCTGAGTTCAAACCCCAGTACCACAAAAAAAGAAAGTAATCAGTACTTTTCAGCAAAAGACAGTTAATAAGTAATTGTTATGATCTGATATATTATGCACTATTTTTGTTTGTTTCTTTGAAACAGGGTCTTGCTGTGTACCTAGACTGGCTTAGAACTTAAGATCTTCCTTCCTCCTTCTCCCAAGTGCTGTGATTACAGGCATGTACCACCATGCCTGGCTGACATCTTTTGTTTAAGCAACTAGATTTCTTTCACATGGAACATAAAGAGCCTGAACTGACATATTTTTTTGAGCTTGGGTGAGTTATTACCCAATTTCTTCATCTATTATTTGGGGAGAATAAGATGGACCTCCCAGGCAGCTGTAAGGTTTAAATAACATGTAAATTTATACTTAAAATAGGATTGCTATTCGTGATGTAAAAATTTTAGCGTTGGAGACGGACAGGATTTATTTGCCTTACAAACAGTGCTTGTGGCACACAGGGTTTCAGAGGCCCTCTCAGGCCCTCCCAGGATCTGCAGTTATAGGTTGGGAATCACTGCTATCACTGCTCCAGAGGTTAACTTTTGAGCAGGGCAACAGGTACTTCCCTGTGCCCCTTCAATCTAGTGCATTCTTTCTCTAAGAGCCTAGTCATGTTGCAAGGGTCCTCCCATCCCATTCCTACCTTAACTGGCCTGAGTACAGGTTCATTCCAAGCAAGAGCCCCATTCCCTATTTCACTGATTCCAACCTTGCTCAGGAGGTGGAGTGATTGGAGATTATTTCTGTTGTAGAACCAGGAACACCCTTACCAACAGGAACTATGGCTGTCGTTTATTCACATGGAATACAATCACAATTTGTCAGGGAAAAAAAAATGCTAACTGCCTGAGAGTTGGTGAGTTTTTCCTTTAACATCCCTCTACTAGTACTAATTCACTTCTTACTTGTGAGTTTCTAAGAGCAGAGAGGTTGGCAGGAGCTAAAAAGTCTAAGCTGTGAAAAAAATTAAGTGTGAAATCATAAATCTACTAACTTATTTTATAGACAAATTGCAAAGTAATTTCCTGGGAACCATTGTCCCAGTACAGTGATTCCTAGAAGGGATTCCCAATTTGTATTATTTTTCAAATAATTTTTCAAATACTTGATACAAATACATGACCTAAAATTCAAAAGGTATATACAAAAGGGCACACCTATGTGTCATTGCAGCTTCCCAGTTGCCCTCCTTAAAGGAAACCACCATTATCAGTATCTTGTATGTCCCTCCAGAGATATTCTATGGTAGCACTGTCCATCAGAACTGTAATGATGATGTAATCCCAGCTGCTCAGGAAGCAGAGATCATGAGGATCACAGTTTGAGGCCAGACTGGGCAAAAAGTTAATGAGCCCCCCCATCTCAACAAATAAGCTGGGTGTGGTGGTTGGTGCCTTGGTCCCACCTTAATGGGAGGCATAGGTAGAAGGATTGCAGTCTAAGGCTGGCATCAGGCAACAAGTGCGAGACCCTATCCAAAAATTAACAAAAGAAAAAGCTGGGGTTATGGGCTTAAGCAGTAGACCTAGCAAGTGCTAGCCTGAGTTTAAACCCTTGGACTGCTAAAAAGAGAACCGTATAATGATGAAAATGTCTAACCATTGCTGTTCAATATTGCAGTCACTAGCCAGGCACATGTGGCTATTGAGCAATGGAAATTTGGCTAGTGTGACTTAGGTGCTGACTTTTAAATTTTAATTTGTATTAATTTAAATTTATATTTAAATATTGATATGTGGCTAGTGATTACTATATTGGGACCCCAATTTTGTACAGATAATACACAACACACAGTCACGTACGATGCACATTATACTAGCCTTGCTTCATTCACTTACCAGTGCCTAAGTACCATGGAGATAGATTTTTCAAAACTACTACAAAACATCTGTTGTAATTCGTGAGGGCAATCTTGGAGAGCCATGGGCCATCACTTTTTATAGCAAGCTCCAAACTCTCCAACATATATAATGAAGACACCTCACAGCACTCCTAGGTTCCCCATCCCCCCACTTTTACCACCTTGGGTTTGGGGGGGCTTTGAATAGTCCCTTTTGGGAACTGGGGGGAAAATTTACCATGAGTCACTGCCCTAAAACACATTCTCTGCCCACATGGCCTATGCCTGATGGTGGCAGCATTCTTTAGGGTTCATCACAGCTCTTTAAGTGATTCTCCTTTTAAAAAATCAAAGTCTCTGGGGAAGATAGCAATTAAGGTAGAATGTCTGGGCCTAAACTTGGATTTTTGCCTGATGAGAGTGGCCAAGGGGCTTTGAGGAGCATGGGGACTTTGTCGGGGAATCTCACTGTGTTGAGCCATGAGGATCCCTGACTAAGTTTGTGCCTTTATTTTTTTATGGCACTGGGGTTTGGACTCAGGGCCTCAAGCTTGCTAGGTAGGTGCTCTTAGCACTTCAGCCATTCTGCCAGCACTTTTTTGAGATGTTTTTTTAAATTCTCATGAATTATTTGCCCATGCTGGCTTTGATATCTGCCTCCTGAGTAGCTAGGATTACAGATGTGAGCCACTGGCACCCAGCTGGTTTTTGATATTTCAGGTGATGAGAATCTTTTCCATTTCAAATGGTCCCTGGAGATTTTACTAATCTGTTTTGGTGTTTATCCTTTTCTTCTGGAGGTCCTTGTGGGAGGCAGTAGATCCAGTATTTGGTGTCAGACACATCTGGGTACAGATCTCAGCTCCAAAGGGCACAATCCCTTTAGTTTGTGGGGCAATAACATTATTTGCTGACCTCCAGTAAGTCAGTCTATATTGCATACTGAATCACATAGAGAGGCTGAAGGAACAGACTGAAATGCACTCAGCAATATTCCTGAGTCATCCCTAAAGCAGGGCTTGTGTTACACACTGGTGGGAAGGGGGCAGGAGCTGTGTGGAGAGGAAGGAGATGTGGTTCTTGCCTTGTCATGGTTCCTCAAAGTGACCTCAAAGAGAACAGTGACTGAGTCCCTTCCTTCACTACATTGTGTTTCCAGGTGACTGCTGCAAGAGCAGGCCCAGATTGCATAACCTACAAACCAGGGCTCATCAGACATTGAATTACTAGCCCCAGTTTCTTGGCCCACATGGTATCCATGATCTCATTGTGGGTAAACTGTCCTTGCCTGTCCCCTGGCTTTGGGCTTGCCCTGTGGCTTGCTTTGGCCAGTGAGATGAAGTAGAAGTGAAAGTGGCTTGCAGAGGCCTCACGAGCATCTGCTGGTCTTCAGTGGACTTCCTCCTTCACAAGAGAGGAGCATCTCCTCTTAATTACCACCTCCCCACCCTGAGTGCAGAGTGAGCACAGGTGGACAGAGCCACAGGGACAGATGGAGCCAACCAGCTAGCACAGCATTAGAACACAGCTACATTAGCCAGCTACAGACCTGCAAGGGCCATTCTAATCCCCGAGTTGCACAGCATCACTGCAGCATAGCTAACCCATTCCTTATTATTTATTTATCTATTTATTTATTTATTTGTTTGGTGGTACTGGGGATTGAACTCAGAGCCTCAAGCATGAAGTACTCTACCATGTGAGCCAAACTCCCAGTTCTTTTGCTTTTAGTTTTTCAAATATGGTCTTGTGCTAACTTTGCCCAGGCTGGTCATGAACTGTGATCCTCCTACCTCCACCTCCTTAGTAGCTGGGACCATAGTTGTGCCACCACATTCAGCTTAACTCACTCTTTTTTTTTTTTTTTTTTTGGTACTAGGGTCTCAGGACCTCATACTTCTACTTCCTAGGCAGTATTCTACTGCTTGAGCTATGTGCCTAGTCCTTTTGCTTTAGTTATTTTTTGGATAGGGTCTTGTGGTTTTGAGTAGGCTAGCCTGGACCATGGCCCTCCTACTTTTACCTACCACATAGCTGGGGTCACAGGTATGTACCACCTTACCTGGCATGTTTGTTGAGATGGGGTCTTGCTTACTTTTTGTTCTGGTTGCCTTTGAACCACAGTTCTCCTGATCTCTACCTCCTGAATAGCTAGGTAGGATTACAGGTATAACCATCACACTCAGTCCTCTAACCCATTCCTTTTAGTAGGTTGTAAGTTCAGCTATTGCAAGAGAGACCCAACACACAGTGGGTTAGAAAGAAAGCAGTTTATTGAGTTCTCATGTAATAATCCAATTAAGAAGCCCAGGGTTAATTTGGTGGTCCACACTGTCAAGAACCCAGGCTCTGTCTACTTATTGCTCTACCTCATGTAGATGAGGGCGTGACCCTCAAGAAGAGGAAAGCTGAATGGGGTGCAACTCAGTAGCAGATGCTTACCTAGCAGTGTAAGGCCCTAGCCTCCCACCCTAGTGCCCTCAAAACAACAGCAACAAGCAAAACAAAACAGGAGGAGGCCCAAACAGAAGTGCCAAGAGCAGCTCAAGTGGAGGCTTTCTGTGTTATAATGTTGGAAGGAGGGTTTGGCGCCACACCGTGGAGGGCTTGGGTTTGTAGGGCTGAAGGACTTTGAGACTTTGACCTCTGAATACTATGGAGGCTTCATATAAATGAGGGCTATACCCTCGTCTTGTTATGACATACTACGTCAGACAAGAAACTAGAAGCCGTTCTGGATGTTTCAAGAGGATACTGCAGTAGTTAAGGCAGCACACAAAAGCTTGCTAGGATAGGTCCCCTTTGTCTCTAGGATTGACTCGAGGGAAGGTTTGTAGGTTGAAAGGGAAGCACTAACAGCCTATAGAAAATCTGTTTTGGCTTAAAGTATCCAGAGTGCCTTCTAGTTTCTTGTCTGAGGTAGTATGACAGAATAAAAATATATTTTTGGTTTCTGCCCCCAGTTCCTGATACAGAGCTCCTAAAAACTTTGGAAACTTTTTGGGTGATGGGAGCATTTTTTTGTTCTAATGAAGCAACTTTTGGTGGGCTCCTAGGTGGGGGCTGGTCACCAGAAAGACTAAATCATAATTGGGTATTTAAAACTTTAAGCTCCAGTATTCAGCCTCTGGGGGGGGAGATGAGGAGGTGGAGATTAATGATGAATCATGTCTGCATGATGCAGCCTTCCTAAAAAAATCCCAAAAAATGGGATTCAGAATGCTTCTGGGTTCATAGACATATCCACATGCTGGGAGGGTGGTGTATCCCAAATCCATGCTCCGTGGGAACATTTCCAGCCAGACCTCACCCTATGTATCTGTTCATATGGCTGTTCATTGTACCCTTTAAAATATCCTTTTTAGGGCTGGAGGCATGCATCAGGTGGTACATGAGGACCTGGGTACAATCCTCAGTACAATAAATAAAAATAAATAAAACAAAACACAATACTCTTTTGTACTAGATCCACAGTAGGAAGTACAGTTTTCCTGCACTCCAGGAGTCATTCTGTCAAATGATCAAACCTGAGGTCAATGGTTAGTCAGAAGCATGGGTGACAACCTGGACTTGAGATTGGCCTCAAGTCCTCCTCTGAAGTAGAGGCAGTCTTGTAGTACTGAGTCCTTAATGCGAGGAGTCTGGCACTAACCCCAGTTGGTAGTAAAATTAAGTGGAATTATAGGTTACCCAGCTGGTGTCCACAGAAAATTGGAAAATTGCTTGGTGTGGGACAACCCCCCATCTAATGTCAGAAGTAGAGAAAAGGGTTTTTTCCTAATGCAGGTAGTATTAAAATATGTCTACAAATTCTTTGAATCTTCTTTCTTCAAAAGGCAGAGTCTAAATCCTCTCTCCTCGAGTGTAGGTTGGATTTAGTGACGTTTCTGTTCATGTGGTGTGGCAGAAGGGTGCTGTGTGCTTTCTGAGGCTTGGTCATAAAAATAAAAAGTGTTTCTGGAGGAAGCCCAGCCATCACGATGTGAGGACATTCAGTCAAGTAGCATGTGGACAGGGCCACACAGGCAAGACACAGCGTGAGGGAACGAGCCACCTCGGAGGTGGATCCTCCAGCCTCAGTCAAGCCTTCAGATGGCCACAGCCTTGACCGAAGTCTTGAGAATCTCATGAGAGACTCAGAGCTGGAACCGCTATAGCTACTCCTCAATTCTTGACTTGCAAACACTGTGAGGAATAGGAGCTTATTGTCATTTTAAGTCACAGTCGGGGGGTGATTTGGTACCCAGCATTAGGTACGTGATACTTTGATGCATGGATTGAGTCAGCCAGACTGGAGACCCTCTGAGCTGGTGTATTAGTGGTGCCCTTGCAATGGTTGGGGATTTTTACCCCAGGCTCCAAGTCTTCCCCTCCATGCCAACTGCTCATTGATTTTCCTGGGCACAGAATTCCTTACCCACTGTCACATAAGGGGGACAGTAGCACCAAATGCTGAAATGTAAATTAGGGTGATTTTTTTTTTTTTTTTGGTGGGGAGGAGAGGTACTTACAAGCAGAATGTTAACAGTACACTCTGTCTCCCAAGCTTTCAGAGAAGGAAAGTCAGGCCAGGTTTAGCAGGACTGTGGGTACCAAGGCTGGAGTTTCTGTATGGAAGGAGCCTGTCTTGGCATGTATTGTATGTTTATAGGACTAGGGAAACAGGGAACATCTATGTTACCTTTGTGGCTGTTGCTTGGTGGAGAGATGACCTCATTAGCCTAATTTTTCCAACTGAGCTTGGTGGTTCCTGTTGAGCTAGAAAAACCCCTGCTGAATCAAACACCCTATCTGGAGCTCCATTTTTCTCCCAGTTCCTGCTTAGTCCAGACCCCTGTGACCTCCTGCTCTCCCTCTACTTTTAGGCCACCATCAAAGGACTAAATTCCAAACTTGATCATGTCTTCTCACTTTGTAACCCATCAGTAGTTCAACCTCTGGTTCCTGTGCCTTTGGGATCAGGGTCCCTGGCCCCTATGCAGTGTGTAGCATTTATGCCTTTTACTCCTTGCACGCTTGCATGTCATGCTCCAGAACATCAGACTGCCCACATGCAGGCCTCCCTCAAGGATTTGTGCTTCCTTGCCATTGTACTGTCCACTGTCTAGATGCCTGTCTTTCCTGTTGTCAGAAAGGAAATCTTTATTGTCAGGAATCAACTTTATTCCTTTTCTCTTCATCCCTAGTATCTGCTCTATTCCAGCAAACCCAGAGTTGGACCACATCTTGATAAGCAGCCATGGTCTCATCCAATACACTTGTCTTCTCAGTGTGGATTGAGATGTCTGTACATCCTCCCAGCCTAGGAGCCCCCTGAGAAAAGGGACTCTGTCCTAGTCAATTCTTTCCCCAGCACCGTCACAGCATCTTGCATGTAACCCATACCCAGCTTAAGTTCCATCCCTTTTTGGACTCTCCCTAGGCCACCTAACTTTTCCTTCACTGAACTGACATATCTCTGGTCTGCAGCATTTTTGCCCTAATTATATTTTGCCTCATTTCATCATCTTGTTAAAAATGTCTCATTTCTCTGACAGGTTTCGCTGGGATCACTGAGAGTTTTCTTGTAGTGGCATTGGTCTGGTGTCCACTTCTTTCACTCAGGTCTCAGCTAAGAGCTGGTCTTCTGAGCTATAGTTTGCCCATCAGTAAGATGGAGACAGTCATGTTCTGTGCCACCCAACCCAAGACACCATTCTTCTTCCAGATTACAGCCAGGGGTGTGTGCCTGGCTTGAGGACAGACAGCTGGCCACAGGCTGGCCGGGCAGAAAGTCTGGATTGGGGCAGAAATTCTGCCCCATCTAGGACCAGCTGGACAATGTAGAATATAATGCTTGTGAGTTTTAATTAATTGTACAATTTAATTGTACAAATTTGAGATAGGGTTACATAAAAAAAGAACTTCACTTTTTGTGTCAAATTTAAAATAATGCAAATATGCCAAAATAAAGCTTCTTGGAGTCCTGTGTCACACTTTGGGAAGCCCGAAGTACCTTTCTTATTAGCTCCTGTCTTTTTGTTCAATACTTTTATTAGGGAAACACCTCTATCCAGGTACTAGTGGCTCATGCCTGTAATCCTAGCCACTTGGGAGGCTAAGATTGGGAGGATCACAGATTGAGCCAGCCCAGGCAAACAGTGCTCCAAAATAATTACAGCAAAATGGACTGGAGGTGTGGCTCAAGCAGTAGAGCGCCTGCTTTGTGAGCATGAAGCCCTGAGCTCACAAAATAAAAAAATAATGCAAAAAAAAAAAAAAAGTTGCTAAATGATGAAAGACTGTGAAATGCCTAACCCAAGGCCTGGCACCAAGTAAGCTGATTTTAAGTGGTAGTTGTTGGTGCTTCCTGTTATGATTACTATTTAGTCTTGTGCTTTAAATTCAGTAAATATTTTTTGGCTCACTTGTCACCATAGAAGGAGAAACACTGGTTTTCATTTTTAGGAAGGAACTTTGGGAAGCATCAAGATAACAGGGATCTCCTGCCCAGAATTAGCTAACTTATCAGCCAGATGAGGAACTGACAGGCCACTAACTGCTTGGAACCCTAACCAGCAAAACCCACTGAGCTGCTTTCCAGGCACACTGCTCCTCCAGGAGACCTGGGGCTGTTCATCCATTTGTGGCTGGCACCGTTTCATCTCATATTACTAGAATGCCATCATTTTCTTGTGTTCAGTAGGTGGATTATTCTTGTTTATTCTGATTTTCTTTTACTCACAAATGTGTTTAATACATTCTCAACATGATTTATTAATAACTGTTTTTGAGCATGGAGTGAAGGACCCCTTGTGTCCTTTGTAAATAGCTACTTGCAATCATGTAGCTACCGATGCCCATTGGACAAGGCAGGAAGCAGATAGATTTGGAGCAGGGCAGAACTGGAAGGAGCTGAGCAGCAAATGTGCAACCCTCAGTGAGGTTAGGAGAGGCTGTGGAGCCCATGTGAATGGAGAAGTAGCCCCACCAGTTTATTTTTGGAAATAAAGGCTAGGGAGGGCAGTCTTGGGAAATTATCCTGCACATTCTTACACTATCCCTCTGGTACCTCTCTACAATTGTCCAAGGGTCAATTGTGTTTTGGTGCAGTCCTGGGCCTTCACCTTCAGCCATTCCACTAGCTCTTTGTGTGTGTGTGTGTGTGTGTGAAGGGTTTTTTCGAGATAGGATCTCTTGAACTATTTGCTTGGGCTGGCTTCAAATCGAAATCCTCCTGATCTCTGCTCTGCCTCCTGAGTAGCTAGGATTACAGGAGTGAGCCTGTACTGGTGCCTGGCAGGGTCAATAGTTTTAAAAGAAAAACAAACTAAGGTCAATTTTCTACCCATTTGTCAAAGTGGAGAACACTTCTAAGACAGGCTACATACTCATGTAATAGTTTGAGGGCTTGGGAAAAAAACCCACAAGACCTGGCCCCACAGTGCAGTAGGCTCACTGATCTAGATATTCTAGTGTCCCCAACACCAAGTGAGAAGTTCTACAAGGTGTATGGTCTCCAGGGGGCAGGGGGTCAGACACCTCGGAAATGACTGGTTCTTGATGAACAGAGGAAAGGGCAAGAGAACAACTGGGATTTGACTTAAAACTCCGCATCCGTTGTAGATGTGTTTTCTGATTCCCCGAGGATGATTAAACTGGGGGAGCTAAGGCAGGAAGCTCTCTTCTCTGTCTACACTGCTTCTTCCAGAAGCGTGACTGCCACAAAGGAGTCCAGCATCAGTTCTAGTTTTCCTGCCTGTGTCCTTGTTATTTGCACATACATTATTTAACTCTTTAGGTTTTAATTTCTTACTACATGGATAGAATGAGTTAGAAATTTTACACATTTTAATGAGAATAATAAGTGTTGACAAGCAGTGTCAAACAAAAATTTGCCAGTTTCTGAGGCGGGATGGGCATCACTGTATGGGCTGAGTGGAGAGCACCTCAGCCAGTTCCCTCTTCTCACCCTCGGGCTGAATCTGCCTGTGCTGGAATTGTTATGACGACTTCGCTGAGCTCCCTGGGAGAATCATTCAAGCCTTTTTCTCCTGAAGATCCAGAACTGTCTACGATGACTTCAGTGAGCTCCCTAGGAGAAGAAACAAGCAAAGCTTTTACTCTAAAGAGTCCCAAATGTTCCTTACTCCCATGTTAGACAGGAATCTTAAATCACCCCTTAGCCATTTACCCTGCATCTTTATTGAAAATCTCATCCTCATCAGAAGAGTCCTTGTCATGTAGCTTCTGGGCCATATTTTTCTTCCGGGTGGCACTGAGAGGTCTGTACATATCCCTAAGCCAGAGTGGCTGCCTTAAGCAAAGGAAGCCCTCCTAGAAAAGAGAAGGGGAGATATTAATTCTGCTTTCCCCTCCCTTTTCCAACCACAACACCAAGTCCTCTTCAAACTTGCCTGACTCTCACTTTCTGTTGGGTATCTCCTGCGCAGAAATGCGAAAAAGCCCCTTGGATGAAAACACATGCACAAGACAGTTAGTGATTCATGCTGTTTTACAAGTCTCTTATGATGTACATCTCAGGTCTTACTAAGACAAAAACTTGTGCTTTGGTCCATAATCACAATGAGCAAAGTCACCCCAGACCTGGGGGCTTGAAAACAATTCCATGCATGCAGGGCTTCCAGCAGCTGTCCATGCCTGTCCCAAAGAGCCCCACATGTCTGGGGAGACCTTTGTGTGTGGCTTGCATGCAGCATAGGCAGGATCATCAGCTCCACTTTTCTCCTCTGCTAAGTACCCCTGTGCAGTGAACAAACTGCACAACCATACTGGGAAGAAGCATTTCACGCTCTCCAGAGTCTTTCATATCAGTCCCCTGCAAACTTGATTTCTCATGCATCATTTGCTCACTGGGTTGGGGTGAGGAGTGAGGGAGAAGGTGCTTTTGTTTTCCTAGCCGCTTTACCCATAAGTTGAGTCACACCAAGCCCAAGCAAATGTCTGAGTCCAGCTAATGAAGTTATCTAGCTCAAAGATTTTTCTACTGCAGGCTGTCACTAATAAATGTGGCATGAAATCAGTTTAACGGCCATGACTAGCACTAACACACAACGTATCTTTTCTGAATACAAACAATAGGAAAAGTCAGAGTGTATCATTCCAGAGACTATGGTTGTCTTCATGGCATATAAGTACTGATTCATGATATAATATGTAATCACAGCCCAACCACAGTGTAATCAATGGAGAAGTGTCAGGCTTGAAAGGAGCCACCTTCCTGATAACTCACTAGCAGTGTGACCCTGGGATAAGGTATTTCCTCTTTCTCCTTCTCCATTTCCTTACTATAAAAGGAAGAGACAAACTACTGTTTCTCCTAGCTAAAACTCTATGAGGTTTGGATAAAAGAGAGAGTAGAGATGAGAAGGTAACCAGTAGGATTGAGAAGGTCAGTTTTCCCACCACTTTAGAGGAAGGACTCAGACGCTCTATCTTTCACCAGCCCTGTGTCCTAACATCCTGGGGCTTCCTAACCCAGTTCCCTAGAAGGCCTCTTCTTGGGCCTGATGCCCACCAGCAGCAGGAGCAGGCACAGCCCAAACCTCTTACTCTTCACCCTCTATGCTTGAGGGACTAATTACAGCAAAGTCCTGGCTATCTCCGCCTTGGCTAGGGAACAGCTTTTGCTGGAGCCCATCAAAACCCTATGGGAAATATGTATACTTTACACCTCTGGCAGTTTCCTCCTTGTTAGACCAGGGGATCTAAAGAGATGAGTTCTAAGTTCTCCCCTCGTTCTCAGACCCTCATAAAAAGACCTATATTTACCTTGAGGAGCCTTCTCTATCATCCTCTGTTGTTCGTCTGTGGGAATAAATCTGTTTTTGGAAGAAAGCACAATCATGATTATCCACCACAGTGAACACTATCTTCAAATCTTTATCCAGTCCTTGTATTTAGGTCTTATTTACCCAGTGAGATAACTTTTCTGAACACAGGAATTCTACTCTGTTAATAGTTCTTCTCTTCCACAGTACCTAACTTAGGATCTTGCATGCAGCTGGCACTTAATACATTGTATTGACTGTTTTAGATGAAATTCAGCGGATAATTCCTAACAGACCCTTCAAATAGAAAAAGGAAGCATCCTTAACTTGATTAAAATATACGTATCTAATAGTCACCTTAAAACGACAGAGGTCACTGTGCGAGGGGACCTGGAAGTGGTGAAGAGGTCTCATAGAGATGAATCAATCTGGGTTGTAATACACATGTGCATAGAAGCAATGCTAGGAATCTCTCTGTATAGCTATCCTGATGTCAAACTGGTAAAAATGCTATGTCTTTCTTACTGTTGCTTATGTCTTGTCTTCAACAAAGTTGGAGAAGAGGGCAGAACAGGTTCTGCCTGGAAGCAAGGAGGAGGGTCGGGGGGAGAGGGAGGGGGTGGAGAAAGGGGTGGGGGGCAGGGGAGAGAAGTGCCCAAACAACATATGCACATATGAATAAATAAAAAAAAGAAAAAAATATCTACCAGAAACCAAAACAACAGTGTTGTTTCAAAATCAAAAATAAAGAGTAAAATGTTTCTTATTATTGCTTGGAGACACTGCTGTTGAGGAGGTCCCAGTCAATGCAATAAGGAAAATAAATGTGGTATAAGCACTAGAAAGGAAAGGACAAAATATTACTATTTGGATGTGAAATGATGGACAACCCAAAAGCCCAAGAGAATTAACTAAACTTTTATTGGAAGTAATGAGAATTCACCAAGTCGGCTAAGTACAAAATAAAGAGATCAGCCCACACACCTCAGCCCACACACCTCAATACCTTTCCTGTGTACCTATATGACTTGGAAAAATGGAAGAAAGATCCCATTTACACTAGCAATAAAGATGTAGAAAGTCCCACAGAATAAACTTAACCAAAGATGTATAATATTTATGTGATTAAAACTCAGGGCAGGGCATGGCAATTCATGCCTGTAATCCCAGCTACTCAGAGGGACTGGAGGACCATGGTCCCAGGCTGGCCCTGGCAAAAACCTGAGACCCTATCTCAAATACTAGGCATTTGCCTGGCAAGTGTGAGACCCTGAATTCAAACCCCAGTACGAAAACAAAACCAAAAACAAATGCAGCCATAAAACCCTCCCCTGGAGAATGTTAAGAGAATGAATTTACAGTCAGAGAAATTGGAGTTTTTTTTTTTTTACCTTCAGTTTTGCCACTGGACCCTTAAATGATCTCCTTCATTGGTAAAGCAGGATCAATGAGCTCTTCCTCACAGGATTTTTGTGAGGATCTGTGGAAAACTCTTTGTCCTGTCTATAAATGCTAAGATTGCTATGGCATCAGAGGCAAAATCTACCAAAGGTTCCTGCCCATGGCATCAGGCCTACTAAGCTCTTTTCTACCACAAAACTATAAAAGTACTGCCTGTGTTTTCTCCTAATACTTTTATACTTAGTTTCCCTCTCTCTCAGAGCTCGCTCTCTTCCTCCCTCCCTCTGTCTTTCTCTCTCTCCCTCCTTCCCTCTTTGTTTCTGTCTCTCTCTTCCCCGTCTTTACATTTACCGAAATATGTTTGTTTAAGGTGAAAGTAGGAATGTTTTGTTACTTGCTCCCACATAGTTAGGCAGCTGTTCTATTACCATTTGTTTATTTTCTCCCACTGACTAGAATATTAGAAGGTGACATTTCAAAAGTCACCTAGTGTTAGGCTAGGAGTGTAGCTCAGTGTAGCACCTGGTTAGCACGTGCAAGGCCCTGGGTTTAATTCCCAGCACAGACACACACACTCCTTGGGAACACCTCGTCTGTCTGTTGCTGGACGCTGTATGCTACTTGAAATAAATATTGCATTGTGTTATTCCTCATTGTGGAGTTGACACAATGCTTATCTCTCTTCCTTTGACTGCCATTACTTTCTACGGCAGGTAAAACACTGCAGGCTTCCTGTCCTTTCAGAGCTTATTATTTAAGCAGGCAAAGGAAATAATGAAAACACAAATAAATACAAATACAGATTGAACTGTACATACAGATTAAAACAGTATAGGAGTTTATAGAAATTTCAAGAAAGGCCATAGCCACTGGGAGATGCAGAGGGTACTGCCTGTGCAGTGGCCAGTGATCATCTTCCCGGAGGTCTTCATAAACTAACACCTGCCGGTCCCTGACTCCTAGATACAAATTAGACTCTGTCATCTTACTGGTATCGCAGGCTTGACAGTGAGAAATACTATTTCATAGAGAGAAGACTACGTACACCATTACAGAATTACTTTTCTGTAGAGAGTGGGAAAATCCCTTTGGTTTTCAGTTTGTGGGTTTGGAGTCTATTACAAAGACAACACATATTCTGGAAACCTGAACAAATTGTGGTCCTTACCTCAATGATACAGATAATTATCAAAATCATCAGTACTGTGGCCAAGATCCTGCCAAGATGACTTGTTGTTATAACCAGATCCTGGAACTTCTTCTGTAAACTAAAAAAAAAATTTTTTTGTTAAATAACAAAGAGATGGGAAGGATGAAAACTATTTAAAATCCCATTCCAGCAGGTGAGTAGTTTAGGGGAATTAAAGAACACACCAAATGTAGTGTGTTACATGCCTCATTAATTTGCATTTTTTTCTATTAATTTTTATCTGTTTTAGGTCCCACTTCACTCACCAAAGAAACAAAGTGGGAGACACTGTCTTGGCTTCATAACTTTGCACTAGACTAGAGCCACTGGTCTTCCTGCTTCAGTGGCATATCCTAAATGATTTGCTCACCTCACTTGATTCCTGCCCCTTCTGTTTACTCTGAACGTCTGTGTTGTCACTGATGTAGTCCTTTGTTTTCCACTGGTCTGTATCCCAGTCAGTTCTGGATGTACTGGCTTCTTGCTGTGTACTGAGAACTTTCATCAGGTAGCCTGTTCTGAGGATGAATTTAGAACAGACTGCCTGCACATCAGGATCAGAGCAGTCAATTCCCAAGGTCCTAATCATACGAGAAAGAAGTGCTCTCACATCACTGTTGGGGATGAGGGACGGAAGCTGCTGGATTAGCTTCGATAGAAGATGATCAGCCAGGGGTACCAATGTGCTAAGGACATCTTTGGTGGGTGAGTCAGTGCCCATGCTGGGGTATTCCCAGTGTATCTCACTGGTTTGTTTCACAGTTGGTATTTCATCAAATGCACCCACACTGGAATCTGCATCAGCAGCATTTTCCTGGTTTGTGGCTTCAGAGAGAGTATCTTCTGGCTCATCCGTGTTTGCCATAAGAGCACTTCCTTCAGTCTGCTTTTGTATAGGCGTGTCCTCTATAACAGGTTCTGAAAAAACATTTAATTCTGAAAACGGGTTGTTCTGAGAACTCAGGTCTCGCAAAGATGAAAAGGACCTTCGTGAAGGGGAACTTATGAGGTTTCTCACGGCAGAGAATGGAGGCCTGTGTGCAAGCAGCACGTTCAAGTGTGACTTTTTCTTTCTGGATTTGGGTATTCTATGGAGCACATGAGAGCCTGTTTGATGAAGGTGATTTTTTTGGTCATTTGTGCTTGGTTTAGAAGCCTGCATGTTTCTAACTCTAGCATTTGCATCTTCTAAAACAAACATGGTGTAGGTTAAGTCTTTTGCTTTATTTCTGACCTCAGGGAGTGGTTTTGCAGTGGTGGACACTGAGTATGGAATTAGGAGAGAAGAGACCGTTGCCTTCTGTTCTTTTGTGAGTGAGGGCTCTGTTTGGAAGGTGAACTCCTCTGATATCCTGGGCTCCTGGACCATGTGAAGCTGCTCCAGCTCCCTTAGGGTGGTCTCTTATCCCTCCTTTCTGCAGCAATAGTCTCCACAAGAGGTGGGGCACTCTGCTTCTCCCAGATGCTCTGTTTCCTCACTTCCTTGAAGGGCCTTTTCTGTGTGCCTTTTGGCCCCTTGAGGACTCTGTTCACCCTCTGCAGCCTTTTCTCTGCAGACTCTGCCAGGCTGTTTTCCTCTGGTTGGGCAGTGTCCATTTTCCTTTGAAAGATTTGGCGTTTAGATTTGGGACCTAAAAGGCTGGGCTGCATAAACATGGCTGCTTTTTCTTTCTCTTTAACTTCATCAATTTTTTCCTGAATTTCTGCATCTAACACATTTTCCAGAAAATAGAGCTTGTTCAATTTATTTTTGTAAGCTAAGTTGTTTGAAGAAGGCTTAAGAGTGGGTCTTCTTATATTATTTTTCAAATTATCAGGAGAATTATTTCCATTTAACACATTGGAAAAAAGCAGCTTAATGAATGGTAACAATTTTGATTCTGCCTCTTCCAGATTTCCCTGCGAGAAAAATGGCAATATGTAATTTAGTGCACTAATGAGATCACTTTCATCATTAAAGGCTGGCTGCTCATTTATGAAGCCAGAAAAGCTGACACTATTTTGGTCCTCATATCCCCTTTCTGGTTCAATAGTCAGCTCGGTGCTTGTGCTCTTCTTCCGGGTCTGTAACACCTTCATGAATTTTCCTTCTGTATTTCCTATAGATGCTTCTTCAACTGTCCAAAAAAAAAAAAAAAAAGACTGCTGTTGATAAGGGAAGACTGGTAGCCAGTTTTGTTTTTTTTTTAATCAGTTCATCGCCACATATCACAGTCAAATAAGTAGGGGTAGGCAAATATTTGAGTGACATTTAAAGGGGAGAAAAATAAGCCCAAACTTAAACCTATGCAATGGCAACAAAAAGAGAAAAAACCACCTTTAACAAAGTAGCAACCTACTCAGAACATTCCATAGTGTGAAATACAGGAACTCTATTTAGGACAGTCAATTGCCCAACACTCAAAAAATACCAAGACTGGAAGACAAATATTTGCCTGCTCAGCAAAACTCTCTTCGCATTCACAATCTCCACACTGTCCTGTTTCAGAAACAGAGGACAACAAAGCTTCTTCTCTGAACCTCCCTTCCCCATACTGTGTTCTTGCTACCATCCACAGAGGACCATGATGAAGGACAATCCTCTGAAGGGAGCATTCTTTCTGCTAAAAAGTCCTCAGCTGGCCCTGTCCTCCTCCACCTACCCATCCTTTGCTTGGGCTCTGATCCCATGTAGCCTAACCTGCATAAAAGAAGGCTCTACACCAAACAAAAACAAAAACACAAACACTGTCTCATTCCTGGCTCTTTCCTTAAATTTGGGCAGGGAGCCGGGATGTAGGTTAGGAAATTTTTAGTTTGCCCAGCTGTATGTCTAAGTGCAATGTGCAACGAATCTGTAGAGTAACAGCAATTTCTGGGGAAACATGTCTTGAGATCCTAAGTGCCTTAGGGAAATGCTACTTTTGCCCAATGTCTGCACTGCTTTCATTTCATTTCTAACACTTCCAACTTGGGAGCCATCCAAAGTTTCTGACTGCATGAAGGTCAAGTGGACTATGGTGAAGTAGACTTTTTTTTTTCCAGGACAATTGAGAGTATTAGTGGTGGTGATGAGGGTCAGAAGAGGAGGGAAAGATGGTAAGAGAGGAAGAATGTGGACTCCTGGAGAGCCAAGAACTGGAGGCAGAAGACCCAGGTATGGGGCTAAAGCATTTATTTGGTACCTGGGATCTTATATTCCTCACTGTAAAAGAAGATGAAAAAGTGTATTTTGCCACCTCTGGGGGAGAAGTGAATGTTATTGGTGAAAAATTGTTTTGAAAAATAAGCAACACTGGGTTCACGTAAGTCACAAAGTGCTCCTATTTATTTGCCCCACTTCACCTGTAGGGCCCTGTTTCCAAGCTGTCAGGATATCAAAGCAGTGATATTTTGGGAGCCATGAAGTCAGTGCTAATGTTGAGACCCAATACACAGAGAAAGCCTTAAAAGCACCCGAGGGATCTGTGAATAGATAGGAAAGCCTGAGATTGAGAGTGAGTTCAGAGTTGGACAGTCTAAGCGTGAAGAGCCCTCACTCCATCAGGAAAGCAAGGCAGCAATTGCTAGTTACAGATTTAGAAACTCACAGGCTCCAAATAAAAGAACATTGCGTATAATATTTTTATAAAAATATTATAAAACAAACTATCAAAACCCACCTACACCTGCCCTAGAAATCAGAGAGCACTCTGATTTTGTAACTAACACTTACAAAAGGAACTTACAAACTACATGACACTATATGAATAAGGGATCACTGGATGTCAAAGCACCAAGCAGAGAGCACAGTACAGTGTGTGACCATTAATATCATTCCCTGCCTCTTCTAGGTCCTTGCCCATATGGAAGAGTTATATTATAAATTATGTGATAACTAAGAACCTGACATTGGGCACTGAAGCAGTTCAGAAATGGAGGGAGTTTAACTCTGGGTAAATGAATAAAATTAAAGCAATTACATTATTAGTTTAAAAAATTTAGAAATGACCCAAGCCTTGTATGCACATATGAATAAGAAAAATAAATAAATAAAAAATGTATGATCATTACTTAAAAACTGAACATTAAAATTAAAACATTTTTCATATAACAACAGACTCACCACAATGTATGGTGTTTGTCAGACATTCATTGTCACAATGCAGCTTGACTGTCTTGCAGACAAATTCAATATTATATTTAAATTGGCAGAGGCAGCAGGCCATATGCCGAGGTAAGATCCTATAAATGGAAACACAGATAATTAAGTTAATGGAAACAGTTACTGAGGGGTAGAAGAGGCAGGCCAAGGCTACCACAGGGCTGTGTAGAAAGAACTCTTGAAGCAGCACGACCTGGACAGGTTGGTAGAAGCCCAAAGATAAACTGCTGCTCTTGAATATTGAAAATAAATGGGAAGGAAGACAGGTGCCCAAATGAAGGATCAGCATGGCAGTGGGTGTCATATGCCTCAAATAGAGTGCTAAGGATTAGAATTGAGTGACATTGATCTGTAGTATCAACCAGAAGCATCTCCTCTCAACTCAAGTCTCACTCTGGGTTGGGAGTGCACAGGAATGAGGCAGACTTCTATGATAAGCTCCCAACTTATGGAGTCACTTTCTCAATTCCCACTGAGTGGCAAATGTTAGAAATTATTATAGGTATTATAAACAGCATAGCTTAATCCATATTGTGTTGTTAGAAAGCAACAGATCATATTGTGCAAATCTGGGCAATTTAAGCACACAAAAAAACAGGGCTAGGCTGCAGCTCAGCCCTGTAGAGGGCTTGTCCACTGGCTTTAATGTCAGCATCAAAGAACTGTAAAGATGATAATAAGGTACGACATAAATAAGAAGAATCCTGTACCCATAGCGATACTCAAAAAAAACAGGTATGTGTGGTGAGGACTGCACAATAGTGCAAGCTAATAAATGTAGAAGGAGTGATAGGATTAGAAAAGCGAATTATAACTGGTTTGAACAGGACTCTCATTGATGCACAGCGGGGTGAAAAGATGTTTGAGGGTAGCATCTTCACTGATCTCAAATTGCTACTCCACTGGTTATTTAGTAATTATCAAGCAATAACTTGGAAATCTTGAAGATGCCACTTTAATCACGTGATTAAAGAGCATCATGGGTCACCTGAAATCACGTGGCATATCAAAGGTTTCACCTGAATTTAGTTCTGGGGAAAAGACAAATCCAGAGGTGGGACAGTTTACAAGACAACTGTCTCAGACTGTTTAAATGTACTGATGTCATGAGAGGCAAAAGAAAAAAAGGTGATCAAATGTTTTAGACTAAAGGAAACAACATCTGGTCTATGACTACCCCTGAATAAAAACAAAACAGACTTAAAGAATATTATTGGCTTATAGCCAAGATGGAGTGACAGGAACCAACTTAACCTTCCACCCAAAACAACAACAACAACAACAAAACATCAATAAAAAGTTTCCTTATGAGGAATAACCCATAGGGTGGTGTTGAAGGGTGTTAACCTCATTAATGGATTAATCCATTTATAAGCGGATAGCTGAATTGGGCTCCTAGGAAATGGGGTCTAGGTGGAGGAAGTAGGTCACAGGGGCCTGTCTTTGAAGTGTATATTTTCTCCCTGGACCCTCTCTCACTCTCTTTCTTAGCTGCCCATTAAGTGAGCAGCCTCTGTCTCAGGCTCCCACTACCATTTGTTCTTCCTCACAGACCCACAGCAATAGCCACAGACAAAAACCTCGTAAACTGAGAGCCCCCTCTCCGAAAAAATAAATCCTTTCCTCTTCTAAGTTGTTTTCTCAGGTATTTTGTCATAGTGATGCAAAGCTGACTAACACTAGCTTGCCGCTTTGAGAGAGCTTCCAGGTTACAAGGTAGGGAAGGACACAAGCAGCGACCCATGATCTCCCTAGTTAAGGAAATGGACTTGAGGCTGGCGGAGTGGCTCAAGTGGGAGAGAGTCTGCCTTGCAAGTGTGAGGCCCTGAGTTCAAGCCCCGGTACTGCCAAAAATAAATAAATAAAGGAAATGGAACTTGAGAGTCCAGGTGAACCAAGGTGACTATAATTTAGAGCACAATACCAGAGGAGAAAGAGTCACACAGAGAAAGAACTCTGGAGCCGTGTCGAAGGATGGTTGGGAATATACAGCAAAGTACTAATCAGAGCATGTGTCTGAGGAAACTACTCAAGGCCAGGAAAAGAACCACCAAACAGATTAGAGGATATGGCACAGGGCTAGCAATACTGCCTGCTCCTACAGGGCAGACTGGAAAGCCTAATGATCATGGTGCACTGGGTACTCAAAGGTCTTGCCTTAGTACTTGTCAATAATGTACTCTGGATTAAGGTTACTTTGTGGTCCCCCTTTACAAATCTTCAAAGTTAGGACCTATATGGTAAAATTGTTTTTGAGTAACATAACCTCACCTGAAATATGATCAAGCATACTTATAGGAATATCAAAATATACAGTACACAACAAACTCAAATTCACAATGTGTGGAATCCAAAAATTATTAAGAAGCAAGAAAATATGACCCATATTGGGGGGGAAAAGTCATAACCAACCCAAGACTTACATGTATGTTAGCATGAGCACATGAAAACAGTTCTTATACATGTGCATGAGGTATGTAGAAAACTTAAAGAGTGAAAATGGCCACAGAGAATGGCAGTGTTTTTCCATCTAAGAAAAAAGCAGCAGGGCATGATGATGGCTTCCTGTAATCTCAGCACTCAGGAGACAGAGGCAGGAGAATTGCAAATTTAAGGGCAGCCTCGGGGGAGGAGAACAGTGGAGGGGGTGAATTCAAGTATGATATATTTGATACATGGTAAGAAGTTTTGTAAATCCCACAATGTACCCCCACGCAGCACAAAAAAAAAAAAAAAAAAAAAAAGGGCAGCCTGGGTTACATAGCAAGACCCTGTCTCAAAAGAGAAGAAAAAAAGAGAAATAGGAAGGAAGATGGGAGGGAAGGAAGGGAAGAGAAAGGAGGGAGGAAGGACAAGGGAGAACACCACTACCTTGTGTAACTAAGAAGCCTGGTTAGTGATGAGGACTCTGCTATCCAAAGGAAGGCATCTCCCTGATAGTGGGGGATCAACTGGCAGATGCTCTGAGAGGTTGAGGATGATAAGACTGGAGCAGAAACCAACAGGTTTGATATCGTGGCGATTTCAGTAAGGAAATGATCAGAGCAGAGGGCTAAATGAAGGGCCTTTTCCATACTAACCTTGAGCACATAAATTTCTACTTAGCTTGCCATATTGGAGGGAAGGTGTCACAATTTAAGCTGTTGTAAGTGGTATGTCGTGATAGACCCTACAGAATATTTTTCAAAACTTCCAAAAAAAATAAAATGGATCATAGACCTAAATGTAACTGTAATTTCTGAGAGGAAACATAGGAGAAAATCTTATGATGGGCTTACACAAAGATTTTTTTTGGTTGCTACTGTGGTTTTTTTAATTTGATTTTTACTAGCATAAATTAATTGTACAAAGGGCTTTTGTTGTGATATTTACAACAGGCATGTAAAGTTCTTTGATCATCTATTTTACTCTTTCTCAGCCCCCTCCCCTCTCATTTTTAACAGTTTTGTAGGTACTATGGGTTTTTTATTTTAATTTTGTTTTTGTTTTGTTTTGGGATTGGACTGGGGTTTGAACTCAGGGCTTTGCACTTAGAAGCAGGTGCTCTAGCACTTGAGCTGCACCTCTGGTACTATGGTTTCTAACTCAACCACTTGAGCCATGCCCCCAGCCCTTTGTGTGTGTGTGTGTGTGTGTGTGTGTGTGTGTGTGTGTGTGTGTGTGATTGGGGTTTGAACTCAGGGCTTCACATTTGCAAAGCAGGCACTCTACTGCTTAGACCTCCATTCCATTTTGCTCCAGTTGTTTTGGAGATAGGGGTCTCATGAACTGTTTGCCCAGGGTGGCCTTGAAGCATGATCCTCCCAAATTCAGACTCTCAAGTGTGAGAATCAGCTTAGGTTGGGTCTTTTCTGTCAAAGGATTTAATCAGTAACCCCTGCTGTTACAAATGTTAGTCTCACTAACTTGCTTCCCATACACTTGCTTCATGGATGCTACTTAATATGATAAAAGTTTCTATTAAGAACAAAAGTGGTTATCCTCAGCTGGACAAAATTCCACTAGATCCCCTGGTTCCAGAGCTGATAACCTAAAACAGTTATTGCTTCCTAGAGCTTTTAAACTTTTCTTCAACAGCCCATCCCAATGTCCTCTTTCAAATTAGCCAACTGCATAGACTGTGACCCCCAAAATCTGCCCAATTCAGGGGAGGGGCAGCATTGCATTAGAGATAAAACCCTGCTGGTTGTACTTGCTCTTTGTCTATGGCCCACCCTTCTGCAGAAGTAAATTTTGCCTTGTTGGTTGACTTCTGAGTTGTGTCATCTGTCTCTCCTGATATCCTGATATCTTAAAGATATTTCTAACATCAAGTAACTAGTATTGCAGATGTGAGCTACCACACCTGGCCTTGCTGTAGTTATTTTTCAGACAGAGTCTCATGTTTTTGCCTGGGGCTAGCCTGAGACCTTGATCCTTCTATATACAGCCTCTGCTGTAGCTAGGATTATGGAAATGTATCACCATACCTGGCTTGGTATGAACTCATTGGGATGAGTTCTCACTACATTTTTGCCCAGACTGGCCTTGAACCTTTGTCCTCCTATTCTCAGCCTCCCAAGTATGTTGGATTACAGGTGTGAGCCACCTTGCCCAGTGACAACAAGTTCTTAGACAAAGATTTCGTAGGTAAGACACACATACACACGTAAATACAAACCATACAAGAAAAACTTCCTACATTAGATAGAGTTCATCAAAATTTAAATATTTAAAACATCTGCTCTTCAGAAGACAGTGGAGTGAAAAGACGAGCCACAACCAGAGAGAAGATATTTACTAAGCACATATCTGAGAGAAAGGACCTGGATCCAGAGTATGTAAAGCACTCTTAAAGCTCAGAAAGAAGGAGATAAATATCCAACTAAAACATGAGAGCAGATTTGAGCAGACACTTCTGTAAAGCAGACAGTTGCCCATAAATGCAGTCAACCTTATCTATCAGCTATTAAAGAAATGGAAATGAAGACGACAATGAGACACCTCTACACACCTACTAGTAAAAAAAGGCTAAAATTTAAGAAAGAAATTGAAATATCAGGATCAGGTGAAAATGTGGAGCAAGTATAACTCTCATACACTGCCAGTGGAATATGCTAAGTAAAAGAAGCCAAACACAAAGTACTATATGATTCCATTTATAAAACGCTCAAAAAGTCAGGTGTAATCCTAGCTAATCAGGATGCAGAGATCAGGAGGTTCGTGGTTTGAAGCCAGCCTGGGCAAATACTTTGTGAAACTCTATCTGGAAAAACCTATCACAAAAAAGGGCTGGTGGAGTGGCTCAAGGTGTAGGCCCTGAGTTCAAACCCCAGTACCACCAAAAAAAAAAAAAAAAGTTTGATGGTTGCCAGGGACTACCAGTGGGAGGAGTAGACTGACTCCAAAAGGATATGAGGGGATTTTGGGGATGACAAGGTCATTCAACATCAGGAATGGGTCATGATTACATAGCCATGCAAAACCATCAAACTGTAGACGTATAAAGTGTGAATTCGGGAGGTTTGTCTCAAGTGGTAGAGCACCTGCCTAACAAGTGCAGTCCTGAGTTCAAACCCAGTCCCGTAAAAAAAAAAAAAAGTGTGAATTTTATTACATGGAAATGGCATCTCAAGAAGCCTGATTAAGACATTAATCAAGCCAAAGAAAACTAAAGCGATACATAAATCTAAGAAAAACTAACTTACAGTTTTTCCAACTTAAGAGTCATCAGGAGGATGTTCTCAAGTGTCGCAAGTCGCACTTGTGTTTTTCCCAGGTCCCTGAGGGAGAAAAGCCCACATTCATGATGAACCCCAACACAGACAGTGTGTACTTAAAAAGACATTTCAAGGAAATGTTATTAGTTCAGGCTTGACTTCCCCATGAAACAAGCCATTTCACGACCTTGTCACATAAGATAATTACTCTTATTTTTTTTTAAGATAATTACTCTTATTGAAGAAATTTAAGTTTACTGTTTGCATCATCAAATTAATGACTTTGGCACTGACCAGAGCCTAAGTCTTTTTTCTAACCATTATCTTCCTTCTCATTTTCATGTTGCTTTCACTCCTATCCTTTACTCTTTGCTTTGAGGAATAAATGATATTTCTACCTGTGTTTACATGTTGAGTATCTCTATGTGTTCTTCCCTGGCTGGCTGTCTTGTTCATTTTAATCCTTTCCTTTGCCAATAACATTTTTTCAATTACCTAGTTAAAACTAAAATGACAGCTTAACCTTTGATGAAAGTAAACAAAAACACAAATCATCTCATGACTCATAAAAATTATTGCAATACTTACAGATACTTTAATGCTGGCAATTTAAAAAGATGGGAATCTTCAACAGTTGTCAGAGGATTACGACTGAGAATTCTGAAAAATGCAATGGAACTAAAATGGTCATTTTCAGTATGGATGAGACTACAGGAAAAGTTTGTATTCATTTTTGTATGAAAATTATGGGTTAAAAATCATTTTTTGTCTTTACCTACAAATTACTTTTAGAATCCATAAGCATCCTTCTTTTGGGATCTACCCAGGTCTCCAAAAAATAAAGTGGAGAAAAGAAAGAGGAGGAAAAGTAGGGAAAAAAACATGCCAAAGAACATTCAGGTCAAAAACTCTCAAAGTGACCACACTGGTAGGGAGCCCTGCCCTGTAGGAAACAGTGTATTTTAGGTCCTCCATAATTCACGAGGTTGCTCATCTTTCAATTTAGAATGTGAAACAATTCATGATCTAATTCACTCAATTAAGGAAAAAATAGGACCAATTTATGATTTGAACCCGTTAAACCCATGCTCCCATCCCATACTCTTACTTGTATTCTTCTGTCACATCACAGCCTTTGTTATACTGCAGGTAATTAATCACTTGTCACCTGTCAATCACCCAGACTATCAGCAGGTTAAGGCAGGGACCACACTTTATTGTTCTTATCATCCCTGTGCCTGGCATAGAGCCTGAAATTTACCAGTTATTTAACAAATGTTTGCTGCATAAATAAATATCATTCTGTTTACATATCAGTGAGATGAATAAACTTATTCTCTCCCTTTCCCTTCCTCCCCTTCTCCCTCCCCCTCTCCCTGTCTCTCTCCTTTGATACAGGGCCTTGCTATGTAGCCCAGGCTGGCTTTGAACTCCTGGGCTCCAGCAGTCCTCTTACATCAGCCTCTCATTAACTGACTACAGGCACATGTCACCGTGCCTGGCATAAATTCACTTTTGATATAAATTTTTACTTCAAAAGGCTGGATAGGTTTTCTTTTCAATTGTTTAAGTCAAGCAAACAAAAACAAAAAGTAAAGAAAGAAATAGGAAGAAAAGAAAACCTGCCTTTAGGTTAACTCTAACCAAGAATCTTAGTGTAACTTCTGTGGAGCACACAAATGACTATTACAGCTAGTTTCCATTGGGCTGCCAGGCATCTGTTATCATCATTTCACACTTAATCATCACAATAATCTTGTGAGGTAGATGTTGTCATTACCCCATTTACAAAAGAGGAAACTGAGGCACAGATTGGTTATGTAACTTGTCTTAGGTCACCAAGCAAGTAAGAGGCAAAGCTGGAATTTGAACTCAGTTCTGATTCCAAAGCCTGTGTTTAACCTTTATGAAAAAAGGGGCTCAAGATAGCTGTACCTTAAACTTAATTTTGAGAGGGCTTAATATAGAAATAACTTTTTTTAACAACTTTTAGAGTATATTACCTATACAAAAATTGATTACAAGTAAATTTTTAACCTCATACGGGAAAGCCTCGATGAGCATTATAGTTTTTTTATTCCCTTTTCCCTGTGATTTAAAATCATGGCACATGGTGACACTAGTGAAAATGATGAAGTAAGAACATAACTGCTGGAATGCAGAGAAACACTGAAACATAACACGCATAAGTCCCCAACCCCAATGACCTTCCCACTAATGTCCAGCACCTCCCCCCATCCTCCTTCCCAACCATCTTATCTAATGCCCATCCCCCTCCAACCTCCATTTCCCCACCCCACAGGATGTTTAAAATCCCCAGGCTGTAAGAAAGGCGTGCTCTCTTGCCCCTCTCAGGTCTCGTCTCCCTAATAAAGACCTGATGCTTATGAAGGTCACAGATGCTTTCTCAGTGTGTCTCTTTTCAGCTTCTTCACTTTTCTTTCATAGGCTAGCACTCTACCACTTAAGCCACACCTCCAGCTTCCACTTTTCTTTCATTTGGTGCTGAAACCCAGGAGAGTTTTGAGCAGGGATGTGGGGAGGAACACCCTTTCGGGGCTACTGTGATTTCATGGTGATCCTCATAAGGTCAATGATGCACCCCCGTGGGGTCTCTGGTCCGGGCTTGAAAGAGACACACAAAGGCCAAGGGATGCCTAAGTTCCCTTGAGGTGTGCAGCTGGTGCCCACCTCTATCCCCAAAACTGTCTAACCTCTCTCTTTCTCCCTTCCTCTCCTTTCCCACCTCACTATCCTCTATATGATGCTAACACTACTATATTTTCTGCCACACTACTCTGGGGCCTGACCTTTTAGTCATACATACGCTCCTAACTTCTCATTCCTCTGAGACCTCCTGCAGGGCCCTTTGCGGATTCCACTCCACACTCTCAACACCGGCTCTGATTTCTACAGGGATGGGCTGTGTGGCACCTCAGTGTGTCAGTCTGGCCATTCTCCCCTTCGGTATTCCTATTTCTCCCTCTCACCTTCCAGCCAACTTGGCTCCTGGTGAGTCTGGCCCTGGTTACTCTGTGGCCCCAGGTTCGTTTTTCCAGTTTTGCAAGTTTTCTCTGGGGGACATCCTAGGGAAAACTTCCTAACCGCAGCCATGGGTAATACCCACTCAAAGATTTCCTCTGACTCCCCCTGGGGTGTCTTTTATACAATTTTACCAAACTGAGCCTAAAGGGCAATCTAAAATGAAAAATCCTCATCTGTTTTTCTAAATTTGACTTCAATACAAATTAGACAATTCCTCTAAATGGCCCAAATTTAAAATTTTAATCCCAATGTCCTCCGAGACCTCGACAACTTTATTGTGAGAAACAGCAAATGGCAAGAGGTCTCTTTAGGCTTTCTTTTATCTCAAGTCCGACCCTCCCTTTGTTCAAACTGCTGGAGCTTGTAGGTTTGACTCTAGCTCTCTGCTGTTACAACCTGAAAAGCAGTGGACAGCAGCAGCTCTTCCCAGGTTCACTCTCAGGCACTGAATGGAGGCTGGAGTCTTCCTCCCCAGTTCCCACTGCCTCTCTCCTTTTTTTCACCGCTGTTCCACCCTTTCCTTTCTTTGACAGGTCCACCAGAGACCATCTTCCATGGCTGGATTTGCACCCAACACCTTACCATCCACAGCTACATCACCATCAAAAACCGTCTCCTCTGGCTTCAACCTAGCTTTATGTCATCCTTTCCTTTTTTCTCATTTCACAAGATATAAACAATGTATAACTTTAAAAGTTTTCTCTAAATTTGTCTCAGCCATTATGGAGGTTACTTTCACTCCTCCTACTCCATGTCCAGCTCCTGTCTCCTCTCTTGGACTGGCCATACAGATTGTTAGGTCCCTGGCATTCTTGGGGTGGGTGGAAGGACCCGAGGCTACACCTTAAAACCAGACCCCGATTTATGACTGCTTGTTTCTCCCTGCCTGATTGTTTCTCAGCTTGCAAAACAACTCAGGAACTTCCAGTTACTCAACTAGCCAGGCATGTCGACCTGTTTCATCTGGTGATCGCAGATAATCAGAGACCAGAGACTCTCTCTCCCTCCCCCATGGCTCGGACCCTCCTATAAAGCCCACTACCCAATTTAGCCAAGCCACCTCACTCTGAACCCAAGAGTGATGGCCCTGCAGTCTGGACCAATAAACCTTTCCTTTCCACATGTGGTGTGGTCTTAATTCGGCAGTACCTTACACAGATGAGGACAGTAGAGACAGAAATGGACAGGGAGAAAGGGAAAGAAAAGTCCTGATCAAGTCACATTGTCCGTTCTTTCTGCACCCCGAGTGACTCATATGGTCCCAGGACTACAAACATAAAATCAATTGGAAATCTAAATGACATGTGGCCAATGATTGGAGCTACTTTTCTGTACTGGCCTCCTGGTTTTTCACCTAAGACTAAGCCTCTAAGTCTGCCTAAACACTCTACTAACAGTTTTCTCCTTTAAGTCTTGTTTTATGGTGGGTGGTTTTCCCACTGCAGACATGTCAAGACCAGGAAGGGATCAGGTCATATCCAGGTCACTGCAGGTAGCGACCATGGGCTGGCCCGTTTGCTGTCCTGGCCAAGGCACAATACAGTTGGGATGATGGACCCATGACCTCAGCCTCATGTAGGCACAGGATGGAAAAACCAATGACAGAATTTCAGTTCTCTATCTAAAATGCCCCATGTATTTAAAATAAAAATTAAAATCTGTTTTCTAGATTATGGCATGAACTAAAAGACAAAAGGGCAGCCTTCCTGAGTTCTGCTACAGATTCAATAAGGCATTTGGATTTTTCATGAGTTGCCTTACCTAAATATTAACTCTTGAGGGGCTAATTCATTCTACCTTTTCCATGCTTACTATCACCAGTTTCACTGGAGAGGTAATCCTTTTTACTTTGCCTCTGCCCATTTTCCAGCCTGTCATACAAATTCTAATTTAAAAACAAAATTCTTAGTATAAAATAAGAGGATGGACTTGTATATCCCCTCATGCATCCTGTATCCTTTGTCCTGACAAGGATATGGAATGCCAACACTACAAGACTAGGCTCCCTAAATTTATTTTAAAGATTTGTCTTATAACAAAGTTACTGTAGCCCAAGGCAAACTATTCTTAAAAATTATTAAAAACACCCCTAGAGGTAGATCTAAAGCCTCCCATATCTAAGAGTGCACTTGAAATTAATGTAATTGTTTTATGTTTCATTGTGTAAATTTTGTGTATGGCTATTGTATGATTAACTTATTAGAGACAAAAGTTTGATAGCTATGACAACAGTCTTCTTATTGGAGACTGAGACTGACTCAAAACACTTTCCTAGAATTGACTCTTGCCACAGGTGTTACGTTGCCCAAAACGAGTCCTAAAAGAACAAAATGGAACACATCTCAATCTGCTCCGAAAATTTTTTTAAAATAACTAATCAATGTACTTGTGGCCACTTAATTTTTATATGTTCTTGAACTCTTGAATATACATGTGCTTAAATTGACATGTATGGCATGCCTAACTTAAAACTTTTTTTTACTATGTGTGTGTTTAAACATGTTTAGGATGATTCTTATTATAGAGTTAATGTAAAGAAACGAAAGGCTTCTGTTCTCTTCTTTCCTCCACCTCTTCTGCTGCTACTTTTAAGAAAAACCAGTTTTTCAAAGGTT